AGATCCCCCAGCGGAGCTCCGGGTGGTGGGGAGGAAGCAGCCTCGGCTCTTCTTCTTCATTAACTGCTGCTAATTACCGCTGGGAGTGGGAGCGCGGGGACGCTGCCAGGCCCGCAGCATCCGGGCAGTTTTGAGTTATGTAAATCTATGCATGCCGAGCAACCAATGGGGGAGCACCTTGACTGGCGTACGCGCCTGCTGATTTGCAAATCCCTGGGTGCGGGTTAATTAACCGGAGGGGTCGAGGGCTCTGGGGCGGATTGAATTCCTGGCGTTGCGTCCTCCCTCACCTACGCCCCTGCACGGCCACGGCTGCACCTTCCCCAGCCCCGGGCCGCGCGTGAAGCTGGGTGCCACCGCCCCACAGCCCCCAGCCCCGGGCCGCGCGTGAAGCTGGGTGTCCGGGGTGGGGGGTGGCCTCGGGGATGAGGAGACGGCCCGGCTAGCCGGCCCAGCACCCCTAGCCGGCGCTGGGCCGAGCACCCAGCTTTGCTGGCAACGTGGGTGCAGGTGCCGGCAGGCAGGGTGGCCTCGCTGGAGGTGACGCGTCCCCATGCAGAGCTGTGTTTCGGGGGAGCGGGGGGTGTGTGTGTGTGTGTGTGACACGCCCCAACCTGTCACCCGCCGTGTCCCCGCTCGGCCTGGGCTGTTTTGGTGAGGAGGGGGCTCGTGTGTGCCCGCGGTGGCTTCGGAGACGCACAAGCGTCTGGCAGAGGCGAGGCTTTCCTACGGCAGGACTTTTTCCTTAATTAGTTAAAACATGAGGAAAGGTGTTAACTTTTTTATGAGCTTCTTGCTGGGTTGAAGGGCTTTTTGTGGCAGCTGGAGAAGCAACTGTAAAAGCAGCTGGATAGGACTTGCTTTATTTTTTTATTTTTTTATTTTTTTATTTTCTGCTTTGGGAGAACGATTCAAGAAAACTTCTCGCTCCCCTTTTTCCCCAGAGCTTTCTCTTCAATCCAATCCTAAAGCTTTCATTTCCAAAGCCCCTTCCTCCTTTACTTTTCCTCTGGAGCTTGAAATAAAACATTCCCCTTCAGAAGGCTGGGGAGAGAAGAGACCAGGCAATTAATAATCAAAAAGGGATGGGGAAGGAGCCTTTTTAAAATAAAGAGATTACGGTTTTACGTTGGTTTTCTTAGCGGAGGCGATCAAAAGGAGTCGGCGAAGGGACCTTGAATTGAGTCTATCACTTCGGTGCTGTGAAGTTGCTGCCGACAGCCCTTTGCTCATCTCTGCGCTGGTGGAGATGAATAATTAGAAGCGGAGAGGGGCCCCACTTAATTACAACCCCCCTCCTTTATGCAAATGGCACAACTGGCTGGCACGGAGGGGTTTTGCAGGGGTGAGATGGGGGCATCAGCCTTGGCCAGGCAAGGGGTGTCCCATCCCCGTGCCGCGTTTTGGGGTGATGGTGGGAGGACACGCACGGGGGGCTCAGTAGGTGGGGAAACACGTGGGCAAAGCGCCTCTCTAACCCTTGCAAAGCGTTCGCTTGGCTTTGCATCTGCATAACGTGGAGAAGCTTCTTGCTGGTGTTTCCGGGAGGAATGTGGTGCCGGGGTGGGAACCGTGTGGCTTCTGCCGCGCCGCATGGCTGTGTCTGTGTGCTCTGTCGCAGGTGGCAGCCTCTCCAAGCAGGATTGGACCATCCAGTGGCCCACAACGGAGCCGGGGAAGGAGAACAGCCCCGGGTGCCAGCTGGAGCCAGGGCAGTGGGGCAGGACGCACCTCTTGCAGAGCCCCAAGGTCCAACCCAAGTGTGGGCAGCATCACTGCCACACGGGCTCGCCCCACGGACCCATGTACACCCACGTGGACCGGCTGACTGTGGAGGGTCACCCGGGGCTGTGCCCACCCGTGGAGTCCGGCCACCGCTCCCTGCCGCCCTCCCCGCGCCAGCGACACGTCGCTCACACCCCTCCGCGTACCCCCAACATCGTGACCACGATGACGCCGCCGGGCACGCCGCCGGTACGACGGAGGAATAAACTGAAGCCCCCTGGGACGCCGCCGCCCTCGTCGCGAAAACTGATCCATCTCATCCCCGGCTTCACCGCGCTGCACCGGAGCAAGTCCCACGAGTTCCAGCTGGGGCATCGCGTGGACGAGGCGCACACCCCCAAGTAAGTGGGTGCCCGGGGGTGCCGGTGCGGTGATGAACCCCATCCCAGCTCCTTTGGAAAGGTGCTTTGGTGCCTAAATGTCGGGGCGCGGTGTCTTTTTTTTGAGCTTTGAGGTAGAAAAGCCCTTTGCAGCGCTAACAGGCAGCGGGGATGCTGCTGGGACAGTGTCTACTTTGCTCCCCTGGGATCTCATTTTGGGAGCGTGGGGTGGGTGGGGAGCACCGAGGGGC